AAGTGATAATGGGGCCTGACCTTAGCACATCGAGGCTTGCACATTCAGTTACAATCAGACACAGCAGACAATTGTTTTATTGCTGCTGTTCTATAAGATAAGAGTTCTAGTAACTGTAGCTAACAGGAATGTACGTATGCATACTGATTTGAATGCCCATCTCAACCAAGCTTGGGTCTCCCTGAGGTTCTTAATCCACAGATTGGAAATCACTCTCCTTTGCTCAGTATTGCCATTAATATTTTCAAGTTCCCATTTCCATATTAGAAACATTTGAAAATTTGAAACCTCAGTTTTAGAGCATACATTTGACATAGCTACACATAGCTGTGAATAGGAGCAATCACTGATTAGAAGCAAACATTCTGACTGTAAAATAATTCTGGGTCATTTTAAAGACAGTGATTCAGCCTACTCCGTCAATCAGAGAAAGAAGCCCTGCTCTTGTGGCCGTCAGAGCAAGTACATTGGGCTCTAGGGCTTTATGTAAGAATTTTAATGAGAAGTGTAGATAAAGACTCTTTCTATCTGTGTGATTTTTGACCTCTATTTCAAACACAATTCTGGTACATGTTCTTCCTTCAAACGCTATAGAATAGGGTAGAATAAAAAAGAATGAAATAAGAACATACAATTAAAATAATAGAATGAAATAAAATATTATAATGAAATCCTATCCATTCCTTAAGACCCAGCTTAAATGTCATCATTCTTTAACTCCACCCTTAGCCTTCACTCATCCAAAGAATCCTTAGGCGAGTGATTCCTTGTTCCTTCCCCCTTGCTATCATATTCTTTTATTTTGGCATTTATCATATTACAAGTCTTCATAGGGAAGTCTTCTTTACTAAATTTTGGATTCCTCAAGGGCAAGCAACTTTCTATTTTCTCATCTTATCACAAAGCAAATACTCCATAAATATTCAAGGGACTAGTCTAAAGACTAATGTGACCTGTTACATTTGTATTTCTCAGACCAGACAAGATTTCTACTTTTCCCCAGTTACAAAAATCTAGATTTTGTGAATTAGTAAAAGAAAATTATAAAATATGTAAGAATTTTGTTTTTACAGTGGAATTCTAATCATTTGATTTTAATATTCTTCTTCAGGTAGAGAAGGCTTTACTGATTATGAGTTGGCCTCCCTACCGGGGAAAATAAAGTATCCTTAATGAATACAGCATAAAGGTTATAGATATGACTTGGGTAGGGTTTCCATTTGGTTCTGACACCTATGCGACTTGGAGCAAGTTATTAAATTCAGTTTCACATTTGTAAAATGAGAAATGATGTCTACTCCAGTGGTGGTTGTAAAGATTAAATAAGTCAATACACATAAACATCACAGAGAGCTTGGTATACAATAATTGCTTAATAAATGTTTGATAAGTTAAGACATGGCACCTTATGTTAGGCTGGGTTTGCCACAAGCAGGCTCTGAAAGAAGGATTTGTGCACAAGCCACTCTTTAAACAAATTCACAAGGAAAAAATAGCATGGGAGTAGAAGAATCTAGACAAGAAAAGAAGCCAAACAGAGGTCTGATTACAAGCTAGTCACATCAGCCCAATCCCCAGGAATCGCAGAACTTGTCTCCACCCAAGATAAAGGCACAGAGATTTCACATCCCTGCACTGTCAGGCATTCACTAAGGACTACCTTGGAGGATACACTCTACCTTACACTCTCTGCATAAATGGATAAAATGGCTTACGGAGCCTTAGGGTTGTTCTCAAAGAAGAGTTGTAAGTATGGGCCTCTGGAAGCAAAGATATGTTTATCTAGGAAGAAGGAGCATACGGGAGCTGTAGAAGGAATATGAGGGGATTGGGGCAGAAAACCACACCTCAAGATATAAATCAGGAAAAATATAACTACCCAGAGCATCATGTACAGATAGATAAACGTAGGTTCAAACTTCATCTCCTCCCTTTTCTTGGCTGGACAAATTTTTTTAAAAATAAAATAAAATAATAAAAACAGCAAAAAAAGAAAGAAAATGTGTGTGTATGCACATGTACACACACACACAATGGAACACTATATGGCCAATAAAAAAGAATGAAGTCATATCATTGGCAGCAACATGGATGGGAACTGGAGGTCATCATATTAAAGTGAAACAAACCAGGCACACAAGGCAAATATTACATGTTCTCACTCAGATGTGGGACCTAAAAAGTTGACATCATGGAGGTAGAGTGGAGTGATTGATCCCAGAAGTTAGAAAGGGTGTGTGTTGGGAGAGAGAATGAAGAAAAGTTGGTTAATTAATGGGTTTAAACATACAACCAAATAGAAGGAACAGTTCTACTATTCAGTAGTTCAGTAGAGTGGCTGTAGTTAACAATAATTTATTGTCTATGTGTTATTTCAAAAGAACCAGAAGATTTGAAATGTTCTCAACACGAAGAAATGATGAATGTTTGATGTAATCAATATGTCAATTACCCTGATTTGATCGTTACACATTGCAGTCATGTATCACAATATCACCTGTACCACATAAATATGTACCACAATTATGTGACAATAAAAAAAGAAAACAAAACAAACTTGGCATCATTCTAACAGGAATATCTGTGAAAACATAAGTTTGGTATGCTTTTCTATTACACATTAAAATGAATACATTACAAATGACTTTTTTCAAAGCTCTTCTTCAACCCAGTAATAGGATGACCCAACCCCTTTGAACGACCCACAAGAGCCCTTTGCCTGAGTTGGATCTGCTTTAGACTCCCTCAGCACAGTTCTTTCTGATTTGTGACAAGCAAGGCTCTGCTAGAATGTCCACCTGAGACCAGATTGATGGAGTCATTGGCCCCTGTGGCTGGCCCAGCTGACCAGAATCTCTAAGAAGTAGACTAGTTATGAATGGGGATGGCTCTGAGGACACCAGAGTACCTGCTCACTTCCCTGTTTTCCAAGAATATTAGCAATTCAGCCAGGCAGATAGATAGAAAGTAAGTCAGGGACACACATATCTCTCCAATTCTAAGGTTCTTATGATGCCAGGAGCAAGTAGAATGGAACTGTTATAAATATTTACCTATTTTCACCAGACCACATGTGCGCTTTGTGTGAAGGCAGTTTCTCCTAACTCCTTCCACAGAAAGGAAGTCTCTCCTTTCCAATCTCATAACCAAGAGTTTCCTGGCTTTATTTAATTTCTTCAAAATAAACTAGCTACTATCAGGCATTGTGAGAGGCTGTCATTTCTGGTTAAAATGATAAGCATTCATCCATGCAGTAGGTCTTCCTGTGCACACACTCCATGGGATAGGGGCATACTTGGTTTGCTTGAAGTCACCAAGCTAGAATAGAGAGAGAAGTAGGAGGGCATGGGAAGGAAAGTCAACAAGTGAACCAGGCCAAGACTGCATAGGCCATATTTGTTAATACCTAGGCCTCCACTTCACTTCAGGTAATCACAGTTTCCTCATCTGGCAATATACAGCTCCAGCCCATATCTTGCACAAAATGTTACTGCTAATTCTATGAATGTACAATTATCTTGCAATATTCCTGAGGGAATGGAAGGAGAATATAATACTCTGTCCAAGAGGACAGAGTCTGGGCACATATGATAAAGCTTCTTTCTTGGGCATGTTGCCAAGAACTCAACATTGCCTCCTCCCGTCTGAACTCTCAAGGGCCTCTTCCGTTAATTCTATTTTCATAAGTCATGGCTCCTTTTGCCTTGGAATAAGATATTCTTAGCTCACTATCACAACCCCTAATCTCACCCCCCTTTTTTTTCCTTTTTAAAATTGTTTTATTATTTGAATTTATTTATTTGTAGAGAAACGGTCTCACTAAATTGCCCAGGCTGGTCTCAAACACCTAACCTCAATTCAGAGTCCTTCCTCAGCCTCCCGAAGTGCTAAGATTACAGGCATGAACAACCACGCCCAGCCCCTTTCCTTGCTCTCTCTTTTTAAACTTATTACATTATTTGCCTAAGAAAGCAACACTGCCTTATGATGAAGTGATTAAATCCATGGGTTCTGGGGAAAGAATGCTGGGTTCAGATTCAGGCTGCCATATACTAGCTGTGTGATCTTGGCAAATTACTTAGCTCTGTGTGTGTCAGTTCCTCCAAGCACAAAATTAAAATCACATGCATTCTTAACCTCTGAGAATTAAGTGGGAGAATCTGTGCCCTGGTAAGCACTGAATAAATGCTAACTATTAATATTATTCATTCTGCCTCAAGAGTAACGAGTAAACTACCAGGTTTTCTATATGTTTGTATAAAAACAAATTCTATTCCCTTCTGTACTGGGCAGGAATTTTTTTAGTTTATTTTAATAATTTGACTTTATCTTCCTAAATTTAGTAAAGCCTTTAAAATCTTTGGTCTCAAATCCATCTTACCTAATTTGGTGTTGCTTATATTTAATGATTTCATATTCTCTTCCATTATTTATACCATTATAATTTAGGTAATAATTAAATTGATTTCTAAAGCTGAAGAACAACATTAATATTACTATGTCTCATCATTTTGTCTTTATTAATCTTCACACTCTATAGAAAATATAAAGTATATGTCTACATTTAGGAAATTAACTAAAATTGGAAAGTATAGAAAACATGACTACTTTTACAATTTGTGTAACCTGGTTCTTTGTACCCTCAATGAATCCCCAACAATTAAAAAAAAAAGAATAAATGTGGTGTCTGCAATGAAATTAAAAAAAGGAAATGTGTGCTGTACCCCTCACTTGAACTCTCGTTTTAATCTGAAGTTAAAAAAAAGAAAATGCATGCCAAGAGGAAGATGAGCCATATGTTTTATAAAACATCTATTTCCTCTGTTTCTTAATCACCTTTACAGTAACAAACAATAAAACGATTGAGTTGAAGTTAAACATTTTCCTACATAGATGACGTTGACATTTGAATCAGCTGACACTGATAATTTTTAGGAGTATATAGACCTGGAGAGAAGAAAGAAACCCACATTAGGGGCAGGAACCACTAGAGAGGAGCAATGGGGTTATTCAGAGGTTTTATTTTTCTCCTAGTCCTGTACTTGCTGAATGAGTCAAACACTTCCTTCATTAAGCTGAACAACAATGGTTATGAAGACGTTATCATTGCCATAGACCCTGGGGTGCCAGAAGATGAAAAAATAATCGAACAAATAAAGGTAAGGGAGAAATGGGATGCCTCCTTTCTAATTTTTCTTTTTTATTCGTTTTAATTGACATTCAATTGAACATATTCATGAAGTACAAAGTAATATTTTAATACATGTATACAATGTGTAATAATTAAACCCTGGTAATCAGTGTATCTAGCACTACCATTTATCTTTGTGTTGGGAACATTACTATTCTTTTAACTATTTTGAAATATACAATAAATTATTCTTAACTATGATTTCCCTACTGTTCTGTTAAATACTAAAACTGATTCCTTCTACCTACATGTATTTTTGTGCCCAAATCAACTCCTCTTCTTCCTCACCTTACTCCTCTACCCTTCCTGGCCTCTGGTATTAGTCCTTCTACTCTCTACTTCCACGAGATCAACTTTTTGTAGCTCCCACATATGGGTGAGGATATGAGCTATTTACCTTTTTGTGGCTGGCCTTTTTTTTTTTTTGCAGTAGTTGGAAAGGGCTGGGTTTGAACCCACCACCTCCGGCATATGGGGCCGGCGCCCTACTCCTTTGAGCCACAGGTGCCGCCCTGTGGCTGGCTTATTTACCTTAACAAAGTGTCCTCCAGGCTCATCCATGTTGCCACTAATGACAGGATTTCTTCTTTTCCTAAGGATGGATAGTATTTTAGTGTGAGTGTGTATGTACCCCATTTTCTTTATCCAGTCATCTGTTGTTGAACATTTGTGTTGATTCCAGATCTCAGCTATTGTGGATAGTGCTAAAAATGCAGATATCTCCTTGATATATCAATTTCCTTTCTTTTGGATATACTGTATAACCAGCAGTGGGACTGCTGGATCATATGATAGTTCTCATTTTGGTTTTTTGATGATTCTCCATATTGTTTTTCTTCATAAAGACTGTACCAATTTACATTCCCACCAACAGTGTACAAGAGTTCCCTTTTCAGGTGGTGCCTGTGGCTCAAAGAGTAAGGCGCCAGCCCCATATGCCAGAGGTGGCGGGTTCAAACCCAGACCCAGCAAAAAAAAAAAAAAAAAGAGTTCCCTTTTCAGCTCGGCACCTGTAGCTCAGCAGCTAAGGCTCCAGCCACATACACTGGAGCTGGCAGGTTCGAGTCCAGCCTGGACCTGCCAAACAACAATGAAAACTACAACCAAAAAATAGCTGGTGTTGTGGTGGGTGCCTATAGTCTCAGCTACTTAGGAGGCTGACACAAGAGAATGGCTTAACTCCAAGAGTTTGAGTTTGCTGTGAGCTGTGACACCACGGCACTCTACCAAGGGCAACATAGAGACTCTGTCTCAAAAAGAAAAACAGAGTTCCCTTTCTCCACATCCTCACCACCATTTATTACTTTTTGTCTTTTTAATAACAGCCCTTCTACCTGGGGTGAGATGATATCTCGCTGTGGTTTTAATGTGTATTTCCCTGATGATTAAGGAAGTTGAGCGTTTTCTCATATATATGGTGGCCATTTGTATGCCTTCTTTTTAAATCCCTAATAATATTAATCCTTTGTTGGATGAATAGTTTACAAATAGTTTCTGCTAAGAAATGACACGTTTTTTGTTTGAATTGTGGAGAAGAAAACAAAGTTAATAGTAATTAATTAATGTGAAACTTCTGAATGCCCCAGAAAGTTAAAAAGCAACATGGGGCAGGTAGGACAATGCTGGAATGGGGGGCGGGGTCGGGTGTAGAAATTATAGGGGGGGTTCTGTACTGCCTCACAGCCAGATGAAAGGAAACTGGGGTTCTCTGATTCCTAAGAAGAAGAACTGGGGTTCTTCTGATTTCTTCAGCTGTAAACTAGCATCTATACTCATATGTGCGGGGGTTTTTTGTTTTGGGGGGTGTGTGTGTGTGTGTGGTTTTTTTGGGGGGGGGACTCATGTTTTTAGCATGCTGGAAGAAAATACAGTGAATTCTTAAATAGCCTCTGGCTTCATGGAGTATGTATTCATTGCAGAGATATGGTTTAATAAAAATCAATAAATCACAGATCATGTGGTAGTAGTTAGCAGTGAAGTAAACTGGATCAGGGAAGGGGCATGTGGAGGGCTAGGTGGGGCGGGGCTGGGGGAGAATGTGTGTCACTGTCTCATGTAAGGCAGTGAGTGAAGACCCCCTGACCGTGGCAGAAGAGCCCACTGAAAACCTGGGGGAGGGGAACAGTAGTGAGGGGTGGGATGGGAACAGAGGTGAGAGCATGTTTGATGTGCCCCAGGAAACAACTGTGAATGAGCAGGAGGAAGGGGAGGGGAGCTGAATCCACAGAGGCAGCAGGGCCCAGACCACTGGAGAGACCAGCTCTGCCTAAGGAGGGTCCTGAGCAGAGGAAGGGTGTGCTCGCCTGTGTGTGCTGGGATCACTCTGCCTGCAGGGTTTAGGAAACTGTAAGGATTTCTGCGGTGTCACTCATCCTGTATGGCCACTGTAAAAGCTTAGAAGTATAGAAGGTGGGAGTGAGGTGGCTAGGAACAGGGAGGTTGTGATAAGAGATTGCTAAAGTAATGGGATTCTTTTTTTTTTGTTTTGTTTTTGTTGGAGACAGAGTTTCACTTTGTCTCCCTCGGTAAAGTGGTATGGTGTCATAGCTCACAGCAACCTCCAACTCTTGGGCTCAAGTGATCTTGCCTCAGTCTCCCGAGTAGTTAGGACTACAAGGCACCTACCACAATGCCCAGCTATTTTTAGAGACAGGGTCCCACTCTTGCTCAGGTTGGTCTGGAACCTGTGAGGTCAGGCAATCCACCCCCCTCGTCCTCCCAGAGTGCTAGGATTACAGGCGGGAGACACCACGCCTGGCAAAGTATTCTGATCACATTTTGAGGGTATCAGAGACAAAATTTTCTGATGGTTTAGATGTGTGGGGTGGTGGAAAGGGTAGAAAGGAAATATAAAGGCAAGGAAAGTATCCAGGCATAGTTACTGATAACTGAGATGATGACATATATCAACTGAGTCTGTCTTCCAGAAAGTGTTAACTCCATTGTTGGTATTGAGTAAGTGACCCCAAAGTCCATGTACACGTTCATATTAATCAATTCCTCTCAAGGTCAAGCACAAATGCTTGCCTCTTGAGGTAGGATTACAGAAGACTCAGATGCCTCTCAGCGTACAGGATTGACAGGTGGCACAATTGGAAGAGTAAGGCAATTACTGCTCACTCGTCAGTTGCTTTTGGGAAATGCCTATTATGAATACTTGCTCCCTTAGGCCACTCTCACTTGCCACACTTATGTGTTTTTTTCCCTTCCACAATAGGACATGGTGACTACAGCTTCTACATACCTGTTTGAGGCTACAGGAAAAAGATTTTTTTTCAGAAATGTATCTATACTAATTCCTGAGACCTGGAAGGAAAATCCCCAGTACAAGAGGCCAAAACATGAAAACTACAAACATGTAAGTGTCAAAATGTTCTCTCAAAAATAATTGTATTTTCAGATGCTCCCCAGCTTTGCCACAAATTGAGAGTCTAATTAAATAGTGTCATTTCTATTTTTGATATTTTAACAATCTTTTTTTGAACATTATCAGGCAGACGTTATAGTTGCCCCACCTACCCTCCCAGGGAGAGATGAACCATACACCAAGCAGTTCACAGAATGTGAAGAGAAAGGAGAATACATTCATTTCACCCCCGACTTCATACTCGGAAAAAAACAAAAGGAATATGGACCATCAGGTAGGAGTTGTGCTTAAAACATAATTCTGCAATGGTTGCCGCTTTAAATAAGGGTTAAGTGTGCAAGCCTTGGACCCAGAGTTCCTAGAATCAATTCCTGGCTCCCCTTCTTAACAGCTTTGTGTGACCCTGAACAAACAACCTGTACTCTTTGTGCTTATTCCCTCTAAAATGGTGTGTAGAGAAGTTTCTATCTTGTGTCAATAGAATTTTTGTTCAACATTAAACTAGATAAGCCAAGTAAACATACTCAGTACAGTGTCTACAGATATTTGAACAAAGAGCAGCAACAATAAAAAGTTTTCTTAAGCCATACTTTTTAGATTTTCATTTCTAGTTCTTCCTAGCTGGATATCAATAAACTTCATGGAACCAGATATATACATGGTCGGACAATTAAGTTGCCAACTCACCTTAGAAAAAGTGCTACATACCTCTTTGTTGAATATCACTATGCTCATCAGATGGCCAAGGGAGTACTTTGAAGGTGACCATAATGATATTCAACAATGAGAGATAAGCACCTTTTCTGGGATAAGTTCACAAACTTAATTCCCTGACCTTGTGGTAAGCTGGAAGGAGCCACGATGCCAGTTAACTGCTCAAGAGAAAACACCCATGTTAGTTGCTATTAGTTGCTAATATTATTAATCAACCAATTTGGCTGAAACAGATGAAACTGCCTATAATTAATCATTTGGACCTATAAAAGTGGCGATTTCACCTACTTTAAATGTTAAGATAATTTATTCAAACAAACTAAAGCACATTATTTTATAGATAAAAATGTAAATAATAGTTAAAGGAAGGCTTTTGGAAAAACAAGATTAAGAAGAATCTTCAGAATCTATATGATTTTGTCATAACGGTAACAACAAGACCACCAAGCAGAAATTCAGCATGGCTGGAGGCTGCCACAGAACATATTAGAAGTACACACACACACACAAACACTCAAACATTCTATTAGAAATCAGAACACTACTAGTTTGAAATCAGACAATGATGTAGATGCCAATGGCACTCTAAGTCAAAGGAGCTGCGTTAAAAGTGGGCATGTGAGACAGGGCAGCCTGAGAAGACAGGAGGTCTGGGAGTAGACTTCTCCTAGAGGAGAGCCAGGAGTGCAGAGTTTTAAATTTCTTAAAATTCACTTCATTTCCTGTGGCAATAACTGAGATGAGGGCTTATTTCTTGCACATAAAACGTTCTACTCTAACTAATCTGGTTCCATTTGCCTACATAACCTTAATCCAGTGTTTTCAAAGTGTGATGTGCAGAAGAATAACTTAGGGGTCTTGAACATATAGATTCTGGCTCAGTAGGCAGAGGACAGGCTGGAGAGTCTGCATTCTTCGCCAGCTCTCAGTAATGGGGTACTGTTGACCCACATTTGTGCTGCTGGTGCTGCTCCAGGACCACATTCTGAGCAGCAAGGACTTAAAGAAATGCGACTTCTTCATAATACTGCTATTTTCGTCCTATTTTCAGATATCTTAGGAGATAATTTGAGCTAAGAAACACACATTGTAGCAGAACAGACTTTGTTTCCAATCTCTCCTCCAACTCTGGAGTTTTTCTTGATATTGCTAACAACAAAAATTTCCACTTGTTCCTTTTTTCTGGATGGATTTACCTTTATTCTTATATTCAGCCTGAAATTCTTATGAAAACTTTTTTTATTCTAACTCCCTCTTTCAAAATTTCTCCAAGTACTGTATCTTACATGTCTTTATATTTCTTAATACATAGTATTGTATTAATACAATAGCAGTGTTTCATATAATTAATGTTCGTACATGCTATGTGTTAAGTGCCATAAATGAATCCCTTCATTTCAACATCCCCAAAATAATTATGTATGGTCCATGACAGTATTTTTCAATCTTTTTCTTATTATCAATTTTTTTTTTCAATTTATCAATTGAAAAAAATCTTTTTCTTATTATCAATTTTTTTCAAATTATCAATTTTTTTTTCCTAATTGTATCTCCACAGTACTTTATTTTATTATAATTTTTTTCAAATTATCAATTTTTTTATCAATTTTTTTTTACTTTAAATAATAATCAATTATTTATTTTACTTTATTTTATTATCAATTTTTTTCAAATTATCAATTTTTTTTTCCTAATTGTATCTCCACAGTACTTTATTTTATTATAATTTTTTAGCACAGGGTCTTGCTTTCTCACCCAGATTGGAGTGCAGTGTCACAATCATAGCTCATTGTAACCTCAAACTCCTGTGCAAAAGGGAACCAATCCTCCTGCCTCAGCCTCCTAAGTGGCTAGGACAACAGTGCCTGGTTAATTTTCTTTTATTGCTGTTTGTTGTAGAGATAGGGTCTCACTATATTACCCAGGCTGTCAAACTCTTGGCCTCAAGCAATTCTCCCACCTCAGCCTCCCAAAGTGCTGGGATTATAGGCACAAGCCAGGACACCAGGTCATTCCCTTGGTATTTTAGTACAACAGATATGCCATATATCTTCTTATGTTGGTCAAGATATGTAGTCCCCGAAGCCATTATAATAAGACCATGACTTTTTGTCCCCCCAAAAAGCAAAACACAAATCATAGTCCACTCTGCCCATAGCATATACTCTATGTTTCATTGATTGACCTTGTTGTGGAATAAAGTAATGTATTACATAGCATAATTTAATGCAATAAGTTTTTTCATCAACAAAAAAATAAACAAAATCCTAAATCTAACTATATCTTAAAAGAAAAATTCTTAAAATATTTGATATACAAAATTTTTTATAGACATAAAGGTACTTGAATTATGACCATGTATTTGAAATGTTTTCCCACAGGTAGATTATTTGTCCATGAGTGGGCTCATCTCCGATGGGGAGTGTTTGATGAGTACAATGAAGATCAGCCTTTCTACAGCTCTGAGTCAAAAAAAATTGAAGCAACAAGGCATGGATATTTAAATTTTCTTCAAAGGGTCTAGGCTTTTAACTGTTCTTGTTTTCCTTACTTTGATTTCTTTCTAATAACAGTCATTCATTTTTGTTCCAATGCAGACAATAGATGCTAGGTCACAAAACAATGCTTTGTTTGTTTGTTTGTTTTAGAAAATGTATCTTAAAGTAGTTGGTGGCCTATTTAAAATGCACATAATTTCAATGGCAAACACTGGGCTGGCAATGTGACATATTGCATACCTCTCTACCACAGCAGTTAGAACCCACCTACACTGAAGCTGAAGCTGGGCACTATGTAAATAGGCCTACTATGTGCCGGGAGCAAGTTAGAGTTACTCATGGTCTGCAAGGATGAATGAAGTAGTAGATAACGCTAAATGTGGAGTAAGAAACAAAGCAGCTTCAAGGATCCAAATGCCAAGGTTTTTTTTCAAATGCCAACTTCTTCGAGATTTATAAAGATCCCTTTAAAATACCAGTCCAGTATTACTACTACATAAGGTATATTCAATATACCTTGAAATCAAGAGAGAGAGATTATTAGAAGAATCAGTTCAAATTGAGTGCCATCAGCCTCATCAGTGATAGAGGTCCTGCTGGGGCTGGGGACTTGTCACTAAGGTGCAAACTGAAAGGTGCTTCAAGGTCCTTCAATCAAGGACCTTCCTCTGCACAATTGTACCAATTTTCAGGGACATATTTTAAATAATATTACATTTATTGTGTTTGTTTATGTCACATTCCCCCTAAATGTCTAATTTCAGCTGCAGAATATTCATTGTGATTATTCATAGAAATAGCTTCAGTGTGTCCACCTAGTGTGGGGCAATAGAAGCATGGACATGTTTGGGAAAGTCTCTAAATGACTGAATAAAAACGAGTCATTGCTTCCCAAATCTGAACTAAAAGCCTACTGAAAAGATGCGACACCGTCACATCCTAGCATAGTCATTGTAATCACTGCCACCTGTGAGCAATTCCATGCAGTAACACCTATGTCTAAGATACTCCATCATTCTTTAGTCTGCGGTCCTGGACAGCACCCCAACTTTGCTTCCAATCATACTTCCCTTTGAATAAAAATTCTCCTTGAGTAATCAAAACATGTGTAGCTATGCCATGCCCTATTCTATTGTGAATATCAACTTTGAAAAGAAATCTACAAAACACCTCAAGCTAAAATGGAACCCAGAATAAACAGTTTCTCAGGTTCCTCCGTCCAGGTGCCTACATTTACCACCACAGCAAGATAGACGCCTATACAAGAGGCCAGCAGCTGTAATCCCCACAGAGAACTCAACCCATGCTGTTTATCTGGGAGGTCCCATTTAAAGTTTCCCTCTAGAATTTCTTTAAAAATAGATGATTACTTTGACTCTGATCCTTAAACTTTCTTGGCAGAATGGGAGGTGCGTGATACTCATAGAAGAATAAATACCTTGATATAGATGATTGTGAATAAAACTACTTGTGATTATTTTAAAGTGTTAATGATTAAGTTGCCTCAAAGGTTAATTGTCCTATGTTTTCAGGTGTTCTACAGGCATCTCTGGTAAAAATAGAGTTTATAGTTGTCAAGGAGGCAGCTGTTACACTAGACAATGCAGAATTGATTCTACAACAAAACTGTATGAGAAAGATTGCCAGTTCTTCCCAGATAAAGTTCAAACAGAAAAGGCATCGATCATGTTTATGCAAAGCATTGACTCTGTAAGTACACCAATTATTGCTTCCAGAATTTATAATCAAAATACATCATGTTTTCAAAACATCTGTCCAGGTGACCTGAGGATGAAATAAATTGACATATGGTACTTTGAACATTGGCTAAGATGTAAAACACAGAACTGATGTTGTTACCATTGTTATTATGACAATAAATCTACCTTACAATATTGATTCTCAGTAAATGACATTTCATTTAATAAACAATACGTTTGCAGAACATATTTAAAATGATTTAGATTTGTGGTTAGATTTTTAAATGCATGGTATATTATAATTATGTTTTCATTTTATTCATCTTTCAGGTCTCTGAATTCTGTAATGAAGAAACCCATAACAGAGAAGCTCCAAGCCTACAGAACCTAAAGTGCAATTACAGAAGTACCTGGGAGGTGATCAGCAATTCCCAGGATTTTAAGAACACCACGCCTATGGTGGCAGCACCCCCTCCACCTGCCTTCTCATTGCTGAGGATCAGTCAAAGATTTATGTGCTTAGTTCTTGACAAGTCTGGAAGCATGTCTGTAAGTTCATTTTTTCCGGATATAAGACAGATGGGTGATTGAAAGGCTAAGAACACACTGAGCACTATTTAGATCTGGGCTGTTCTAAATTGCATAGGGGCATAAGGTACCATCACTATCTACGATCGTGACATCAAGATAGCGCAGCAAAATATTGTAGTAAAAAACAAATGCCAATATAATCTAAGAGGCCTAACTCAGGGCCTTGAGTTTTTTCCCAGAAAATGGGATGGTTTACTTAGGAGAGGTTTAAGGCCGTTTAGTAAAATTGTATTTGGAATGTCAGAACTAAAAATTGAAATACAAAAAACAGTTTCTAACCACGTCCCTTCTATTTGCCGAGAATGTTTAAGAGATATGAGGATAGAATGGATTGGCAGGGTTTGGCTGAACTTTGGCTGAACTTTGTTCCAGATCAAGGAACAGGATTAACGTACTTGCAATACCTGTACAAATGACCTCTTTATGGTCAATGGCACAAACCAAAAGCATCACCATGAAGAGGATATGGCTCAATCTAGCCAATCATTCCTTCTAATCTCATTCAGTGAATGGGAGACACTATTGTGACTCTACAAGTTCAGATTCATGTGCTTGAGGAGTTCGCAGTTAGACAGGAATACTTCCCCCCTTTCCCATCATCTGGTTAAATTATATCTTCAATTTGAGATTTGCACCCACTTCCTCCAGGATATGGACTGGGCTTCTAGGCTGGCCAAGACCTTTCCACTGATTCCCAACAAGGCCCATGCATACCTCTGTCAGTGTGCATGATATCAATATTAACACTACACAGTTCTCTCCCCCTATGCTAGGAGATGCTTAAGGACGTGGATCCTTTAGGTCTTATACATCTTTGTATCCCCATTGCCTAGAACAGAGTTCATCGTGTAGCAGTGGAGCAATTAATAAATAATTTTTGAAAGGAATAGACTACAGACAAGTGGATGCGATGTGATAAAGAACAAGAGGGATGGCACATTGGAGGCAGAACAAAAGATGCTGTAAAATAGGAATAACGTCTTCAGCAAACAGTGGAGGAGTGGTTATTAAAAAGGGTAGAGAATGATACAGCTGAATGAAATGGGCCCAATAATACAGGATTCCAGAGAGGGCAACAAAACGCCAGACACCAGCACAGACAGGTGGTCCAGGAAGTGCCACTGGGAAGAGATGAGATGTTTGAATGGGAGAAGAGAAGGATCCTCCCCCTAGACACTGTGCAGGTGGATCCAGGTTTAAAGGAAAGCAAGGTAGTGGAGAGAGCCCTAGAAGACAGAGATGTGGGAGCTGTTTCTCATTGTAACTTGATTAGGGGAGTTCAGAAGGAAACTTGGGCATAAGTTAGGGGTAAGTACTAATAAGAACAGAAGAAGACAAATGTATGAAGAGGCTTAATTCCTGGACAGTCACCTGGAAAAGATGAATGTTAGTCCTGCTGAGATACAAAGAGCCATTTCTAATTAACCCATTACTGGTGGGGAGAGAGAAAGGATGGAGACAGGTCAGGAGCAGAAAAGGAAAGGGGTGGAAGGTAGGGCCTGGGCTTTTCAGAATTTAGATAATGCTTGGGTAAGTTTTATCTTTCGGGAAGTCTAGTCCCCAGTGGCTGGAATCCACAGTAGTCTAGTTTGATTTGTAAGGTGTGGAATGTGGTTACATCTAACAATGATAGGCTTCCAGGACTAAGTAGAGAGTCTCTAAGATGTGAATCATCACCTCCAATTCCAGCTCATTTCTGCCCCCACCCCCCACCTCCCACTCCTAATTTGGGCTCCTAGCAGCCAAGAATCAGTTCTAGTTAAAAGTCTGGGCTCTGTACTATACTTTATGTATCCTAATACACATAACAACGCTTTTCAATTTTATCAATTGAAAAAAATGATCATTGCTTTAACAACACCAATTACTATTCATAGAAGATTCTTACCAGTAAATTCTTCTCACTCATTTTATGTGATTTGCTATTATCTTCTTGTAGAAAATTGCTGGGGTTTTTTTTTCATCTTTTTTTATTCAGAATTATAACCGACTCAATCGGATGAACCAAGCAGCAAAATATTTCCTGCTACAGATTGTTGAAAATGGATCCTGGGTGGGGATGGTTCACTTTGATAGTAGTGCCTCTATTAAAAGTGAGCTAATCCAAATCACAAACAGCAGCCAAAGACACAAGCTCGTGGAGAATTTACCTACAAATGCTAATGGAGGAACTTCCATCTGCTCTGGGATTAGAACTGCATTTCAGGTAAAAATCATATGGCATATGTATTGTATTCCTTTTTTGTTTACAAGACATTTTCAAGTTGTGTGGTATTCGCACACTTGCTAGCCTAATTTTAACATAAGTAATCCTATGGAGCACAAATCTAAGCCCTTAGGAAAAACTTCAATTATGATTTTTTTTTTTTTAAACAGGGCCTCAAGCTATCCCCCTGGGTAGAGTGCTGTGCCATCACAGCTCACAGCAACCTCCAACTCCTGGGCTCAAGCGAGTCTCCTGCCTCAGCCTTCCAAGTAGCTGGGACCACAGGTGTCCACCACAATGCCTGGCCACTTTTTTTGGTTGCAGCCATCATTGTTGTTTGGTGGCCCAGGCTGGATTTGAACCTGCCACTTTAAGTGTATGTGGCTGGCACCTTAGCAACTTGAGCCACAGGTGTTGAGCCCACTTATGATTTTTTAATGGACCAGTGAATCAATGAGTACTAGTGCTGCTAGTGTGCAAGCCCAGTCAGGGACTTACCTGCCTTGCTACCATGTAGAGTCAGTGCTGACTAAATATAAGTCAAATAAGTTTGATTGGATACAAAAGCCATTAACTTTGGGGGGCAATGAGGCAAGTTATGTGGCATGACTCCATTTCAGGCCCTTTGTTATTTGAGTTTCTACAGCATTAAGGCAAACTCATGTTTCTCTATTAAAGCAGATGTAGCAAGTACTGTCAGTCAAGTTTAGGGTAAGCCACATGAGTCAGAGTGTGAACGTTGACCTCAAAGTACTAGATGTGCTACTTACTAGCTATGTAATCTTAGGCTAACGTTTCAGTCTCTTTGGACTATCAGTGCCTTATTTGTAGAGTATAGGATGGGAATGCCTACCTCATGAGAATTAAGTGAAATGATTCATTCACATACTTAGAAAAATATTATATAATAAAATAATATATAAAATATTATATAATGTTATATAATTCATAACAGCTGATATGATAAATCTTATTTTTATCTGAATCGTTTTCCTGAGTTCATATTTAAGGTCAATTACTTCATTTTCCTGCTGAGGAATCTTCACTGTCTCTTCACAGTCTATAAAATTAAATCTGAATTCCTCAGTCTGGTGTTATTCAAAAATCTCTCCCCACTCCCTGCCGAATAAAACTGCCTTCACCTTCACCTGTCTTTCCTGCCTTATTTCTCAGTTCTCTCTTCCTGATGCTCTACCTTCCAACCACTTTACTGCCCACATTGTTCTCCAAGCCCACTGCGCACTTACAGCCTCCATTCCAGTACGTGCAATTCCTCCACCTAAACAGCTTCCTTTTCTCCCATCTTTGCATGTTAAAATTCTACTAATCCTTCAAAATCCTTTCTCCTTCTGTAGCCTTCCTTCTCCTCCCAACCCTACTGAATTTCTCTCCTTCATGAATTACGTGACATTTTGGTGTAAGTTTGTAACGTGAAGGCCTGCATTCAAATCACAACTGTGACCCAAGCACAAAACTTAGCCTTTCTAACCCTCAATTACCTCATCAGTCAAATGGGCTAATGAAAGCTAACATATAGGGTTGCTCGTGTTTAATTTATTCAACGTATATTTATTGAGTGCCTGTTATGTGCCGACAAAACTTTGTCTCTCTTATGGTGCATCCTAAATAGTGGGGAATAGAAAACAAATGGATAAATAAAGCAACAATGGCAGATTGTGAAGAAATTGAACAGGGTGATATGATGGAGTAACCGAGAAAGGAGGGGAACTACTCTGGGGAGAAAGGCCATAAAGGCCTTCTCTAACAGGGGACATTTTTGCTAAGCTTTGAAAGATGAGACACAGCCAGTGGTTCAGGCAAAAAGAAGAGTGCAAAATTCCCTAGGAAAGAAATGGATTATTCTAAGAAATGATAGACACTAGTGGCACTGGAATTTGGCAAAGGAGGGTGTATAAAATGTGGTTGCAGGGATAGACAATGACTAGCTATTTTAAAGCTTAAAAAAATTAAGGTATTAAAAAAAATAAGGTATTTTGTTTCAGGCACAACAGAAAGCTGCTGAAGGATTTAAAGCATCAGAGTATGATAGTCAATTTATATTTTACAAAGATGACTTCAGCTGCCCTGTGTAAAATAAACTGTAGCGATAGGCACGGTGGCTCATGCCTATAATTACAGCACACTGAGGTGGGAGAAATGCTTGAGGTCAGAAGTTCAAGACCAGCATGAGCAAAGCAGGACCCAATTTCTACTAAAAATAAAAGATTTAGTCCGGCATGGTGGTGCACACCTGTAATCCCATCTACTTGGGAGGCTATGGCAGGGACATCACTTGAACCCAAGAGTTTGAGGTTGCTGGGAGGTAGGCTGAGACCATGGCACTGTAACCAAGGTGACAGAATGAGACTCTGTCTTAAAATAATAAGTAAATAAAAAAATAAATGGTAGGGAGTAAGAGAGATAATAGGTAGACCATTTGGAAGTTTGGACTTGGATTAAATAATTTCATGTATAAAATACATTAATACATTGCAAATATTCATAAACAGTAGCACCATATTATCTCCCACATACTATAATATATATTCTTTGCCTCAAAACAAGCAAAAATTATGAATAATGGGAATGGTCAGTTTGATCTGTGATACTACCTTTGTTAGATATTTCTACATTACAAATCTACATACACATCCACTCTGTGCCCAAGAAAGCTGCTGATAATCTAGCATTTTTTTTGCTTCTTGGCTTGTACTCAGTTTCTCAAAATGGTGCTTCAAGAAGCCACAATAAATAAATATTTTTTAAAATTTTAAAAAGAAGCTACTCCCAGTTAAAGTTGTCAAAGAAAATGAAATATAGTTGCTATCCTGGGATAAGTTCTCTTTATCCTTTCTTGTATTCAGAACTTTGGGTTTCAAACTGGCTTTCAATGAAAAGGATTCAAGCTGTAAATTGAATTCAATAAATGTAATTCATGTATTCTTTGAGCACCACCAATATGGTGCTAGTTACTGTTAGAAGAAAGCCAGAAGTTCTATCACAAGATCTCTAACCTCAACATGCTTGGATAGAACTTTTCATATCTTTTATTTACAAGCATACGTGAGGATTCCCTAATTTGTAATCAATGATACTTTTTATGATGAAGTAGATTCTGTATGCTTAAAAGACCTTATACATTAAAGGCTTATCAAAGGATAGTCCAGTCAAGAAAAATGAAAAATACTTAATGCCACATATCATAATTATATTTCTGGTGTCTGGTTGACCTGAGTTTCCCAGTTTGAGATGTCACTGTCTTTCAGTCTAGGGAGGGATTTTCCAAAGTGTGATCCTGCCTAACTTTATTTGGACACATTTCCCCTGCAGTAAGGGGTCAGAAAAGTAATTCATGTTTAACTCCCCATGGACTGTCGGTTGATTCTGATTTTTTTTTTTTATTGAATGGTAACTATGTACATTAATGCACTTGGTTGATTCTGATTTTAAAATAGGGGCTATTTCTCCAATTCTGCACACTTTCATTTATTTTCTCCGTAATCTTTTTCTAATTTCCCATCACTCTATTTGCTCTAGAAACACCTGATGGCAACTGTGCTCTGCATTGTGTTTGCAGGTGATTGGAAAGCAATACTCCCAGCTAGATGGATCTGAAATAGTGCTGCTGACAGATGGGGAGGACAGCACTACACGGAGCTGCATGGAAGAAGTGAAACAAAGTGGGGCCATCATTCATTTTATTGCTTTGGGGGAGTCTGCTGATCCGGCAGTGATAGAGATGAGCAATGTAACAGGTAAAACATGACCTATATATTCCAATCATTTGATAGCAGTACATAAACATAGAGGTCAACAACTCAGCTACTTCCCTTGAGCTCCGGCTCAGCAGGGGGTGTGCCAGGACAGGGGACCAGAGTCAAACCAGATCCTATGCCTGTTCTCACGGCGCTCAGTCTAGTTGGCTGGCGAGACCAATAAAACTGCTAATAAAGTAACATAACTAGGTAACATTCCTTCATAACAGGAGGAATATAGATGGATAAAGTTCTATGTGAACAGAGGAAACCATTAACCTTTCCAAGATTGAATAGAGGCAGGAAAAGAAAGCTTAAGAAAGTCGTGACTTCTGAGCTGGGCCTCCAACAAGGTGTCAAATTTCTCTGGGAAGAAAAAAGGGTGAGAAAAGATGACCAGATTATGAGCAAAACAAAACAAAAAAAATCATTTGGGGATGACAATGCAAGCTACATGGAGAAAATGGTAGAAAATCTGTGAGACTACAGCATGGTCTGTGGAGTAATTGTATGTGATTAACAGAAACTCAGGCTGAAAAGATCTGAATTAACAACAAAGTTTCTAGATAAGCATTAAATGTGGTAGCTATTTTTAAGACAGACATGTAAAAAAGAAAAAGACAGACATGTGATGAAAAAAATGTATTACATGTTTCTAATACCTCTTTAAACATAGTAGAGAATAGAATACATAATTTAATTTATAACATGAGTATCAAACATTGATACTCATGGCACAAACTCCCATTATTTCCAATTGCTTTCCTGGCCATTGTAAAATTTATTTTGTCCCACGTAGCCCTTTAAAAGTAACAGTTTCTATTGCTTTCTGTTTTCCCATCCACTCATTGCCAGTTATTGTTAGGATACCTAAACAAAGCAGCTCTTTCATCTTTCTCATTTTTATCTACTCTGGCTGGAAAATCTGAAGGGTAACTTTGTTACGGTCATATCTTAATCAAAAGCAAATAATTCCCTTAAAGGGTTATGTAAAGTCCGTAAGCTTTAATACATGGAATTGTTCACTTCTTTCATATTCTATGGTGAGTGGAAATATTTCAGGTAGCTAAGGTTTTGATACTGTGGTATTTTGGTACATTTTACTTACTTGTTATGACATTTTCAAATAAACATTTCAGAGTTAATCTTTACACCTATGTGATTTGGTCTTTTTTAATAATACATACTGAAACTATGATTTGTTTGGATTATTACACTATTAAAGACCAAAAATGTAACAAGTACTTATTTCCTAGAAAATAACCTAGTTAATGTATTTACATTTTAGGAGGAAGTCATTACTATGCGTCAGATGTAGCCCAGAACAATGGCCTCATTGATGCTTTTGGGGCCCTGACATCAGGAAATGCAGATTCCTCCCAGAAGTCAATTCAGGTCAGAGTTCCCACATAGCTTTCGTGTTTGCATTTACCATAACAAAGAAGAATTTGGCAGTTCTAATTTCGATATCTATATTTTTCTCAAAGTAAATTATTAAAATCAAAACTTCAATCTAAAATATAAATTACTCATTAGCTGCAATCAAATTAATTGGTAAAGAAAGCGTGAAATAAATGGTGAAATAGCAGACATACTGTTCCTTTTCCTATTCCCATATGGTTTGGTTAATGGATAACATCAAAAACGAATATTGTCCAATTTTCCACCAAAAATAGCCTTTGTCTGAAACAAAGTACTCATTTTTCAGTGAATATGTTAAAAAATTCTTATGTTTCCAAGCTTTCTTCACCCTACACTGCTATGAAATAGATTTGAATTAGACAAATGAACTCAAAAACCTGGTTTGTTAGTGGAAGGAATGAAATAAATTAAGCAGAGAAAGATGAGAGGAATGATCATTGTATATCTGCAAACCTAGGGCTTCTCCTGCTTCTTCAACCACTATTTTCATCAGCTTTTGATTTTGTTCATGTCTCTTCTAAACTCAAATCTTTTTCTCTTCTGTATCTCGATGGCATCACCATTTTTGGTTATTCAAAAGCTTTCGGCAAACTTTGATTCTTCTTACTCCTTCATGCCCCACATACCACATCAACACAGCTTGTGACCTTCAAAATATGTTTTATAAAAATCTATTTCTCTTCTTTCTATTCCCACAAGTCTATGTCTTGTCACTTTATGCCAAGATTTCTATCCTCTGTTTTCCAGTTAATCAAGTCACTGCCTATCTTAAAACTTTCCATGATAACCTAAAAAAACCCTATTTTCTTTCCTCTATCTCTCAACAATGAAGAGAACAGAAGTTAAAGGAAGTGGCTGCTTAGAACATGTCTAGATTGGCTTGGAGAACTGGTCTGTAGATTTGCCCCTGCAAACAGGTTAAAAATTGGTGCGAGCTGTAGCCTGGCAGTGTGTCAAGAATAAACTGAAGGGAAACAAAAAGTCATTGCTGAGATTCTCATCCTGAGAGAAAAATGGTTCTGCTGTCTGAAATTGATAAGAACAAGAACCAATTTTTAGGATATAGTTTTATAGTGTTTATTTTGAATGGCTAATGAGAATACCAAATGAAATATTCCAGAGTCACTTAAAAGTGTAAGAGTAGAATATGGGAAATCAACTAAAAAAGGACATTTGCATGCAAAAGGTGCTCAACATTTGGAGAATGGACTTTTCAAAGGTGTGGAAGGGGCAGGAAGAAAGTTTTGTTCCCCTCACCTGAAATGCTTGCGATAGGTTCTTAAATAGAGAAACAGCAAAAAGACAGCAAATTTTTGCAAGATTAATCTGGATTCGTATACACAATGAGTAGATCTTGAGAGAAATAGTGAGTAGTTAAAAGCATGTTTCATAATCTGAGTTGCTGGGAAGTTGGGCTTGGTTAGTGGCAGCTGGCATGCAAAGGAACGGCTGCATCCCACGCTTTATTTAGTTATCCCCCCCCGCCCCCAGCACTACAGTGCAGCCAAAGCCTCCGTATTTTCTTAGGCTGTCCTGATGGGGAGTCTAAAAGAGTCATTTACTTTTAAATTTAACTCAGTAATACATACTTTGCCACTCAAAGACATGTTCACCTAACAGGGGACTGATCTTTTTGTCATGGCCATGATGTTTCAGTGGTAGAATTCACGTCCTTCTATCAGTACTGGACTAAAGCTGCTTTTGGTTTAGAACTGGCTGGAGTAGAAGTGGTATTTCCTACTGTTCCTGAAATGACACCAGTAGAAAGCACTTAGGTCAGAGGATAAAGCTGGATCTCTTGGACTTTTATGTCAAGTGAAATAAGACAGTCAGAGAAAGACAAAAGCTACTTTGTGAAACCTAAGAAAATTGAATTCATCAAAGCAGAGAATGGAATGGTCATGACCAGCAGCTGATGATGCAGAAGAATTAGGGAGATATTGGTCAAAAATAAAAAATTTCAGATACATAAGACGGATAAGTTCAAGAGAGCTATTAAATAACATGGTGACTATAGTTAATAACAATCTATGTGGTCTTGAAAGTCAGTAAGAGAATGGGTTTTAAGTGTCCTCACCACAAAAAAAGGATACGTGAGATAGCCACTTACCAGGCGTCCTCAAACTATGGCCCGCGGGCCACTGCCTGTCCTGCTTAGCAGCTGACTCGTCCTGGGGCCCGCAGTCTGACCCTCCAATGGTCTGAGTGACAGTGAACTTGAACTGGCGCCCTGTTTAAAAAGTTTGAGGACCCCCTGATAGACATTCCACAATACATATATATTTCAAAACAACAGATCGAAGTGTACATGATTCATACAATTTTTGTCACTTTAAAAAATCAATAATTAGGCAAAAATGTTTGGCTCTCTGAAATAAGAACTATCAACAAAGACTTGGAAAACTTGCTTTAAAGCTCCTCTCAGAGAAAGTCCTACCTCTCTATTCCCTCTCTTCTAAGGAGTCCCACCTCCTAACATCAGTTTGCCCTCTCGTGAACACACCTACTGCCTTTCATCCTATATAAAAACTACTTTAAAATTCCACATCAGGAAAATATCCTGCTTGCCGAGACAACTGGGAAAATATAACATGAAATCCATGTTCCTGCTCTCAGCCTTTTACCAGACCCCGTCCTTCCCTGCACTCCCACACTTTCTGACAACTGTCAAATCCCTGTCTCAGCTTTCAGAGAGATCACAAGCTGGTACACAAGCTTGTTCTCACACCAGAATTTAAGAATTATTTTTAAAAGAATAAAGTTAATTCTTCCTGTAGACATTAACTTTAAAATCTGTTTATATTCAAACAGCTTGAAAGTAAGGGATTACAACTGAGCAGCGATCCCTGGATGAATGATACCGTGATAATCGATAGCACAGTGGGGAAGGATACCTTCTTTCTTATCACATGGGACAAACAGCCTCCCAGTATTTCTCTCTGGGATCCCAGTGGATCCATAATAAAAAACTTCACCATAGACACAGTTTCCAAAATGGCCTTCCTCAGTATTGAAGAAACCGCAAAGGTAAGCGAACAGCTCTTATTCTTCTCCTCAAATGATTTTAAAAGCTGAACAGAAATTGTTTAATGTCATAAATGTGAGTACTAACGTTGCATCGACTTCAAAATTAACATAAAATAGTATGTCCTTTCTATGCCTGGGTGATCCTGAAAATTATGATGGCAGAAAACAGGGGGAAAGAACTTATGTATCAGGAAGGAGAAAAGAAGGAAGTCAAAGAAGAATTTTTAAAAGGAAACTTGAGAAGAGTGTACGCCGCTTGGTGGGTAGAGAGCTCAGAGTCCTTCCTTATGACTCCTGTCCGGATCAATGAGTCTGAGGACTGTGAGACTAAAGAACAAAGCCAAAACCAAGGCAAACTTTCAAAACTAATTCTTTCCAATCGATATATACAAAATATAGGCATCACACAGGACACTAATTGGAGTGCCCTGTCTGAACCACTTTAATTCTCGTAATCCTTTTACCCTTAAAACCCTTAAAAACTTGTTTATTCTATTCTATAATTACATGATTTATTTTAGAATTGGAAAAAACTCTAAATTTTTAATGGGATTTCTAATAGAAAGACAGAAATTAGCTCGAGCCTGGATACTTATTACATTTCCCTTGAAACTTTTAGGCGGGCATTTGGACTTACAGTCTTCAGGCAAAAGCAAACCCAGAAACATTAACTATTACAGTAACTTCTCGGGCAGCAAATTCTTCCGTGCCTCCAATCACTGTGAGTGCTAAAATGAATAAAGAGACCAACAGCTTCCCCAGCCCAATGATTGTTTATGCAGAAGTTCTACAAGGATACGTACCTGTCCTTGGAGCCAATGTGACAGCTTTCATTGAATCACAGAGTGGAAAGACAGAAGTTCTGGAACTCTTGGATAATGGTGCAGGTAATTTATAGGTTTTGATGCATAAGCCTATTTTTCCTAACTCAGGATATGTTATGAGTCCCTGTGACAGTGTGTGTCAGTAAGACAGGCACCAGAAGAATTGATGTAGATTAAGGAGGAACAGCAGGACCAGTAGGAAATTCTAACCAGGTAAAATCTACAAAGTCACCAGGGGTGGGGTAGAGGAATGAGGGAGCAGGAAGAGGGGAGGACAGAGTGGGGTGAGGGGTCACCGTGTATGGCTCACCTCTTGGGGGCAGGACACAAGTATAAGAAGGACTTTATCTAACAAATGCAATCAGTGTAACCTAATTCTTTGTACCCTTAATGAATCCCAAATAATAGTAATAATAAACTGCTTAGTCCTTGGTAAGTGTCCTACACATGGTGAGCACAAAATAAATGTTAATTACTATCATCATTATTATTTGTCATCTAACACTGGCCATTGTCTGTTACCACTGAGGAAGGTCTCATTCAGGAGGCTAACGATGGCAAAAAGGACTCAGGGCAAGTGTTTCTTAGGGACACATCAGCAAGAAAGAGAGGGTGAGGCACAGGCGGACAGATGTGATTAAGTGGTAGAACGTGGACCCCTGGCAAGGAAAGGGAGAGAAGCAGGTGAAATTCTCAAAGACTAGAACAAAGTTAAATATAATCCCAAGTATAAATATAGTCCAGCAGCAGCTAGAACTTCCACGAAACAGGAGGAGTCATACTGGGGTACAAGATACCAGGTCTCACTGATAGGAATCAAGACACAGGATTGGCCGTACTCTATCTCCCTGACCTATATGGATAAGTGGTGCTTGAAGACCTTTTCCCCAGAGTCTGGACTGTTCTGGGAACTGAACCCTCTGTTAAGAGGTTAAAGAGGTTAATGCGCAAGGAAGTAACCATATCATAGCCATCTTAATTAGCACAGTTTTGTACCAATATCTTTTGCAATGTAACTTATTCAATCATTTTATAATCATATCTTCAATTAGGGTTGGCACTAAGAAAAAAGGGAGGGGAAATTGTTCTTTCATGCACCTCAATGCTTTCTGCAGAAATGACAATATTTCCACAACTATCCCACGCCTCTTTTTTCTCTTTCTGCAAAACCATATATAGACATTAAATCTTACCTGTACCTTGTTTCATTTTTCAACATTTTACTAGATGACTATTTAGCTAATTGGAGAAATTAGCTAATTTGGGATGACCTAGAAAGGAACTGTGATTAATAATGATAGAGAGCAGGCGTTCTCAAACTTTAGTGTGCAAAGGAATCATCTGCAGAGCTTGTTAGAACACAGAATGCTGGGATCCTTCTCTAGAAAGTCTGGGAAATTTGTATTTCTAAAAATCTCCAAATTTTGAGATGGATGCAGATGCGGCTGGTACAAGGACTTCACTTTAAGATCCTCTGCCTTAGAATATTAAACCCCATGGGAAATGTGGTTGCAATTTAACAGATGACTCCAATGCCAGTGATATCAAGAATTATATAATACAGGGCGGTGCCCATAGCTAAGTGGGTAGGGCGCCAGCCACATACACCAAGGCTGGTGGTTTCAAACCCAGCCCAGGCCTGCTAAACAACAATGGCAACAACAACAACAACAAAAATAGCCAGGTATTGTGGTGGGCACCTGTGGTCCCAGCTACTTGGGAGGCTGAGGCAAGAGAATCGCTTAAGCCCAAGAGTTTGAGGTTGCTGTGAGCTGTGACACCATGGCACTCTACCCAGGGCAACAGCTTGCGACTCTGTCTCAAAAATAAATAAATAAATAAATAAAAAGAATTATAATACAATATCCCTGAGATCCCTCAAATTGCCATTCTAAGATTATATGGGATTTTCCACTGTCAGACCAAGTAGTTAATAGATCAGAAGGAAGATGAGATGAGCATTTAAAAAACAAGTTGTTCATAAGGCAAAATAAGTAATTTTGCTTGACTGTAGTGAGAATTAAATTCTATACAAAGATATCTTTTCATTGGTAGGAACCATTTTGGTTTAAACAGAGGGATGACGTAATTAACGTATTTAGCTGAGGAGAGCTGAAAGCAAACCACCTTGTGGACAACTGATGAGAAGAGCACTACATATCATTATCTGGATACATTGTAAGGGAGAGAAAGCCAAGGTGTTTAGGTACAGATCAATGTGTGTTATACAGATACAACATAACAAAATAACGCAAGGGTATTAATTTAACAATATATTGTTTCAGCAGATCATAATGGAAATAGTCTCCAACGGGTCAGTCTCAAAATACTGAGCCCACTCTAGAGGCTATCCTTATGGATGCCAATGCTTGTCTTAAAAAATGCATACATTTATCCATTTCTTTACAATAATAATTTACTATTTCATTTCTATAATAAGGTGCTGATGCTTTCAAGAATGATGGGGTCTACTCCAGATATTTTACAAAATATACAGAAAATGGTAGATATAGCTTAAAAGTACGAGCTCACGGAGGAAACTCTGCCACACGAAGCTTTCGGCATCCACGTAACAGAGCTGCATATATACCAGGCTGGGTAGTGGATGGTGAGTCACTCGTGGTATCTGAAACCCAGTTGGTTTAAGTAACATTGGCATTTGATATGATTAAGGTTTCAAACACTTTACAATTCAAAGTATACCCTTTCTCACTTCTACAATGAAGTTCTCAGTCATACTAGGCTTTGCCTCCAAATTCATGTAAGCTTTAGTAAAATGTCTAGGGCCTTGTAAGCGTTCCAGAAAGGTCAGTTATTATTATGTTATTTGGAACATCTTACCTATGTCAACAATAATATGACCAGTTTGCAGTTCAGGATGAAGGAAACAAGCCAATATGTTCTGAGTCTAAGTATACACACGTACAAGCCAGTGGCAAAATATATCCTTCAGATTATATATGCTGTAAGAGTAAACATTCATTTGAGATGTTTTATTAAATCATAAGGAAAAAAATGTATAGAATAAGATGACAAGGATTAAGAATGCATTCTTTGTGAGCTTTCCTCTAGTCTCTTTTCATACGACTTTTAGGGGCTTTCTGTCAGCAACTGGAACACAGTTAGAACAATTATTTCTCAGCACTTGCAGCAGGGAGGAAGGGACCCAACACAAGTGGCTGGAAAGGCACTGGCAGTGATTTCCCCAGGTATATTCCTAGCCTGGGAACTACCTCTTTAACTTAAGAGGTAAAGCAATTCCTTCTTGAAAAGGCATATATTAAACTACGTAACGATCTCCATTCAATGCTGTTTTAAGTCCAAAGCAATTTGTTACTTGATTCTATCCTGCAATATCCTGGTAAGGATAGTGAAGAAGAATTCTTCCAGCAAGTCAATGCTTAGGATTGTGTCACAAAATTTAGTAAAAATGTGACTGTATATATGGAAAAAAAGGAAAAGACAAGTGGGATGGGGAAGAGGATTTACCGAGTTCTGAAAAAGGCTAGCTTGGTTCTGCCCATTATAAATTGTTAATGCTAGCTCAGCGCCTGTAGCTCAGCCACTAGGGTGCCAGACACATGCACCAGAGCTGGAGGGTTCAACGGGCCTGGGCCTGCCAAACGACAATGACAAATACAACTAAAACATAGCCAGGCATTGTGGCAGGTGCCTGTAGTTTCAGCTACTTGGGAGGCTGAGGCAAGAGAATCACTTAAGCCAAGAGTTTGAGGTTTGAGTGAGCTGTGACACCAGAGCACTCTTCCAAGGGCAACATAATGAGACTATGTCTTAAATAAATAAATAAATAAATAAGTAAATTGTTAATGCAGGGGAAATTGTAGCAAACCCACCAAGACCAGAAAATGATGAGGAAACTCAGCCGACCTTGGAGAATTTCAGCAGAACAGCATCTGGAGGTGCATTTGTGGTGTCACAGGTTCCGAGTTCTGCCTTGCCTGACGTGTACCCACCAAGTCAAATCACAGACCTTGAAGCCACACGTGATGGGGATGAGATCACTCTAACGTGGACAGCACCAGGAGATGATTTTGATGTTGGAAAAGGTAGGACAAAGTATCATGTGATCTTTATTTAAATGAAAGATGATTATTGATAAGGCAAGTGTGTAAGGATGACTAAGGGGAGAATAGTTAACAAAGTATTCATTTCATAATCTGATAATTTTGCATCAAGCAAACATGACATATTTTACCCTGTTCCCGTATTTCATACAAAGAAGGGAGCATTTGGCAACGCTTAAAAGTCAGAATTCAGGCTCGGCGCCTATAGCTCAACCGGCTAAGGCGTCAGCCACGTACACCTAAGGTGGCGGGTTCGAATCCCCAGCCCGGACCCGCCAAACAACAATGACGGCTGCAACCAAAAAATAGCCGGGCGTTGTGGCGGGCACCTGCGGTCCCAGCTACTTGGGAGGCGGAGGCAAGAGACTCGCTTGAGCCCAGGAGTTGGAGGTTGCTGTGAGCTGTAATGCCACGGCACTCTACCCAGGGGGACAGCTTGAGGCTCTGTCTCAAAAAAAAAAAAAAAAAAAAGTCAGAATTCAGCTTTTACTGGAAAATGAGTAAGGCTTCTGAGACCAGTGTATATGTTGTATAGCTACGCATTTTTGAGAATAAATTAAAAGGAATTAATATGCTATGCTCCAGTTTCTAAACTTCATGTAACTTTCTTTTTTAGTTCAACATTACATCATAAGAATAAGCGGAAATATCCTTGATTTAAGAGACAATTTTGATGATGCTCTTCAAGTGAACACTAGCAGTCTGTTACCAAATGAGGCCAACTCCAAGGAAATCTTTGCATTTACACCTGGAAATATCTCAGAAGAAAATGCAACTCACATATTTATTGCCATTAAAAGTGTAGATAAAAGCAATTTGACATCAAAAATATCCAACATTGCACAAGTAGCATTGTTCATCCCTGAAGCAGAACCAAGTTATCCTAGTACTACTTCTAGTCCCAGTGAAAATTATCCTAATTCCACTTCCAGTCCCAGTGAAAATAATCCTAATTCTACTCCTCAGTCTGGAGTTGATATTTCTATACTGGTGTTATCAGTGGTTGCGACTGTTGTATTATTTCAAGTACCACCATTTGTATCTTAAATAAGAAAAAATCTTCAAGTAGACCTAGAACAGGTTTTTAAAAAACAAAAACCTGGGGGAGGGGAAATGAGGAAAGAAGGAGAAGGGAAGAGGGAAGGGGACTGGTGTGCTCCCATTTAAGGGGCACAATGTAAGGGTATGTGGCACATCTCCTGGGTGTAGGACCCAACTACAAGAGGGACTTCAACTCTACAATGCAAACATTATAACCTAGTTATTTGTACCCTTACGTCAAAGTTATTTGTACCCTTACTGAAATTAAAAAAAAAATAAGTAAAAGATATGTCTGAATTTTAAAATTAATTCTGTGTGATCAAAAACTCATAAAAATAACTTTAAGAAGTCTAGAAAAGGCCAGGTGTGGTGGCTCATGCCTGTAATCCTAACACTCTGGGATGCTGAGGCAGGTGGAAAGCCTGAGCTCAGAAGTTTCAGACCGGAGCCAAAGTGAGACCCTGCCCTTAAAAATAGCTGGGTGTTATAGCAGGTGCCTCAAGTCCCAGCTATTTGAGAGGCTGAAACCAGAGAATCACTTGAGCCCAAGAGTTGGATGTTGCTGTGAACTGTGACATCACAGCACTCTACCAGGGTGACATTGTGAGACTCTGTCTCAAAAACAAAAGTCTAGAAAAGGTACCTTGATTAAACATTAACATCCATGGATATTAATGGATGAAAAACTGTAAGTCAATATTAAAGTTTAAAATTTTTATTTATTTATTATTTTGTCATTAATAGTGATAAATAAAGATTCTTTGTCCTATTGATCTCTGGATGTATGTTACTTGACACAAAAGTTTTCTAAAATAATATTTCAAATTTCATCAAGAAATTAAAATTATCCTTTTGGGTAGTCAAAATATAAGTAAAAGAAAGCAAATAAACAATACTTGAAAAAAGGAATTTAGTCTTGGTACTATTAAGTATAAATTGATGATACTATATTTACCCAAAGCCTCCAACTGTATACTACAATTGCTAATACTACGTTTACTGCAATTCATGGATATGGAGAATGTTAACAAAATAATCAATTACTACCTGTCAAATCATAATTTTTCTTGATTTCAGTTCTAAAAAGAAATAAACATGTATCTATCTCTTTTTATTTAAAAAGTCGTACCTTCCTGTGTGTTTTTTCTTTTAACATATGAAAGAATTACGGAAGCTACTATCTGTTGCCTTTATTTTCAGATAAAAAAGAAAACTATATTTGTAAATCAAAATATTTTAATTCATCTCTCAGAGTCACAGCCTAGGAGTCACAACCAGACGGATGAATAAGATCATTTAAAGAGAAAATGTAGGTTGAAAGAAGATCTCATGGTAGACCACAGCCAGGTCAGCCAGAGGCCCTAATGATGTAAACAAAGTGAACAGAGCATGTAACCATAGCCTAAGGTGGTGAGAAAAGATTTCTCTCATGGGAGGAGGTAGACTTTGAGTCCAAGTTCACAAATATATGGTTTCATTGTTCTTCCAACTGATTATTTTCTTATTTTCCATAGGGAGTTTTAGTGCCATAATGCAGTGACTTGAGAATACTGATTACCAGGAAGGTTTTGCTTACTCTCCTGCCATTCAGGGGGAAATGAACTGAGTGCCAGGGCATTTGGGGATATGCTGTTCAGGCAGTGGCTGTTGGCACTGTTAGCTCCTCCTGTGGGCTAGCACCTGTTCAGCCAAGGCTAATGGCTGGGGACAGACAGGTTAACATGGAGTAGGAAAGGGGTAGGTGTAGAACACCTGGCCTTTTACTGAGAGGACAATGAAGGCCTGAAATTCTGTATTGGTGTAAGAAATACTACATAGCAGTCAGACATTCTCTAAGTCCTTCCCACTCGTCCATTGCACAACTCTGGAGCAGGTGTCCCTCAAACTACAGCCCGTGGGCCACATGTAGCTGCCTAGGATATTTATCTGGCCTGCCGGGTGTTTTTGCCACCACTGCCTGTCCTGCTTAGCAGCCGACTTGTCCAGGGCCTGCAGTCCGGCCCTCCAACAGTCTGAGGGACAATGAAGTTTGAGGACCCCTGATCTGGAGACAAAGCCTACTGGCCTGATTATTTCCCTCTCTGATACTCCAGCTCAATAACTAGTCTCGGATGGGTCCCAGTGATGGGCTCTTTCCTCACAGGTCAGGCCCTGATTTAGTTCTATTCCCAAGTCTGCATCAAGTAGCTAAGTATGAACTGGTAAGAATCAGAAAAATAACTAAATGGTTACCACTGCAGTCAGGACAGACTATGTAATTGATGTTACTAATACAAAACGAAAATAAGAGGCACTTGTTTAAAATTAATAGAAACTTCAAGACAGCAATGGCAAAGCATTAAACCGTTCAGCACCCTTTTGAGCACAGAGCTCTGAGCAACTGAACAGATCCCATGCCCACAGAGACAGCCCCAGCCGGAGTCCAGGATAAACTATATAGCACCAGCACCAGTAGTATAGAGGCTCTTGTGGGGTTGTCCATTACAGTCACCTGGCACCATTAACTAGCTAATCTAGTTAATCATGAAAGAAAATACCAGGTCTGAGAAGGAAAGTTTCGCCCCATCATCTGCAATTTAGCAACAGAAAATAAATCTAAGGGCGGTGCCTGTGGCCCAGTGAGTAGAGTGCCAGCCCCATATACCGAGGGTGGTGGGTTCAAACCCAGCCCCAGCCAAACTGCAACAAAAAATAGCTGGGCGTTGTGGCGGGTGCCTGTGGTCCCAGTTGCTCGGGAGACTAAGGCAAGAGAATTGCCTAAGCCCAGGAGTTGGAGGTCACTGTGAGCCGTGACACCATGGCACTATACTGAAGGTGACATAGTGAGACTCGGTCTCAAAAAAAAAAAAAGAGAGAAGAAAAGAAAAGAAATCTAAGCTGTCCCGGGAAGGAAGAGAGGCAGACCTATGTAGAAGAGGGCAACCTCTGTACAAACCACAGAGACTTGAATATCTGCAGAGTTCCTGAATGCAAGAAAGCCTATACCACCAGTATCCAGTCAGTACTGCTCAGGGATATGGACAGTCTACATTGTCACAAGCCAAACACCTGTCGCCAGGGGTCTTCCAAGCTGTAGTCCTGAGAAGTGGTGCACATTCGCAGACTCAGCTAGTACTAAGAGAACCTATATCCCACTGAGGTGGCCAGTGTCAAAGGCCAGAGAGCCCCAGAAGAGCTCATGTAAATGGGAGGACTGAGACCATGGTGCCTGATGAACATTCACGCCAGCATAAAATAGGACTAAGAAGAGCACAGCTCTAATAACACTGAAGTGATCCGGGCCTATGGCAGCCAAATGGAGAAGCATGGTAGCTGGTCTCCAAAATGTTCTTTGAAGATCCACAACTCTCATTATTTTTATTTCATGCCATGGTAGGGAGGAGTGGAGCCTGAAATACAGTACAAACTCAGCTTCCAGGATCAGGCTATTTGATCACTTGTTCAAAGGAGAAATATTTTTCTAATTTACAAGTGGTTTTTCTAATTCACACAGGACATGTACTAGCAACACAGGTCTATTTCCAACCACTATTTTTTTCCAGTTAAATAAAAACTCTTTATTCATTAAGTATTCTTAAACATTGATATGCATTCATTTTTATGGTCATGTTCCTTCATAATATCCTATCTTCCTTTTTGTTCTTCATCCCCCTAAATTATTTTGATGGGTTCGTCTCTAAAATGAAGACTATTTCATCTTTTGTAATGCTACTTACTTCTTATCATCCCAATATCAAGGCCAATCCAGATTTCCTCTTTGTCTCTTACATGTGAAATGCATATTTAAAAAACTTGGAGATTTCATCAGTATGTTTTCAAGATAAAATAAAATTTAAAGTCTATGCAAGTATTTCAAAGCCATTGCATTTTTTGAGAGATGCAGTATCACCATTGGTTCTTAAAAGCAGGATTCAGTTCCAGAAGCATATTCCTATAATGAACATTATTCATAGTATCTAATATAGCCTGTTTCCAACAATGTTGATTTCAGATAAGCAGTTTTCTATTTTTCTAAGGGTTAAATTTTATGGCAGCAGACTTAATTCTTGAATAACACAATCTTTAACAAAACAGTCAAGGGTAGTCTTGAAAATGAAATTATTTCAACGGGAGTAATTACAGCAAGAGAAAGTTGTTGGCTTTTCAAAAGAGGTAGAATATACACAGGAAGGAATAAAAGTAAATCAAAATACATAATATTGTACAACATTAGAAATACCCAATGTGCTACTAACACAAAAACTGCCCTAAAAAAATGTTTTAAGGTCTGGAGCTATCTCTATTTTTTTTTATATATAACTATGTATCTTTCCCATAATCTGTGACCCATTAGGAAGCTTTCAACCAGAATTTTGGGCAATATGCTTTTCTTCAAATAAAAGGAGCCTCATAAAAGCACTATGAGTAATGTCTGACAACTGAATTGGGAAAACTCTTCCTGAAATATGTGTAATCTTTAGAAAATTCTTTTTTTTCCTTCATTTTAGAGATGAATACATCAAAATAATTTAGTGGGAGATGAAGAATAAAAAGGAAGATAGGATATTATGAAAGAACATGAGCATAAAAATGAATGTATTTCAATCCATTTTCAAATGAATTGTGGTCAGTTGTGACCTTAATTCACATGCTCATATGTTTTCTTCATCCAACATTTTGTTGATACCATCACAGAGTTTTTGTAAATGGGTTTAAAATTTCAAAAGGATTATAAAAGATAGCCAAAAATTCCCAGTCTGAAAACTGATCCAAGACATTATTGCTCCATTCACGTGACTTAGCAGTGATACTGAAGGATTAGATGGAGTGTCTCTCTGAATTTATTCAACAGCCTGGACAACACATTCCAGTCAAAGGCGTGATCCTCCTGATGGACACTGACCATGGTTAGCTGATGAACTTTCTTCTTAAATTTCTCCATCAGTGCCAGCACAACTTAAGTAAAATGATTATTCCTGTAAAGAATGGCCAGCTTGATGACTGTTTGATGAGGGTCTTGATCTTCT